ATTGACTGATACCTATTAAATTTAGACAATGTAGATGAAAATTTGCTAACTGGCATAATTAACAAACTTGGAACCCTTAGCTACCAACCAATAATAGAGAATGCCTCTTTTAATCATCCTCAAACTTTCAGTGATTTGCTTAATGTAAGACTCGTTCAGATTTTGTGTAAGTTTTTGTGTAAGTTTTGTTAGGTTTAATAAACAAATAGGTTTCTATGAAATAACTAGAGAGTGCCTCTTCTGAGGGGCTTCAGGCTCCTACTTAGGTTAGGTAAGATTCCTGATGAATCTCACCTAACTTAGCCTATAGCGTTATACGTAGAGTTTCCGGTAAAGTAGGAGGGAATAATGTATCAATATACAGGGTTACTTTCCCATATGTATAACCTTCGTTTGAGAGATAGGAATACAAACTGTGCTGGTGGTCTGTGTACGGTGGGTGTATATATACAATATATGAATACATAGATGTTTGTACGAATACCAGTGTATACATACCTACATGAATACCTGTAAATACATACGTGCAAGAAAGTGTGTGCATATATGTGTGCACAGGAGCTCCTGAATGTACACGTGTATTTAAACAACTATGCATATACATGTATATGTTTTATGCATTCGTGTTCGAACGAAGGTTCGACAGATGTGACTTCCTGTTTTCACATCTTCATTGTTTTTTAATTTTCAAGCATTATTAGGGAAACCGATTTTTTTCCATTGAAATTAAGGAATGTATGGTGCAAAAGCATTAATTTAAAGCAAAAAAAAATTCTTAGACATATAGAATTTAAAGATTTTTTCGTATTTAACTAAAAAATTAGTGAGGCTGAAGACGTGCTTTCTGCAGGAATGTAACCCCTTTTCTCCTTACTTGCAGGAGGCGTCGACGGTGCTGGTGGAGGCTGAGTGTGAGCAAAGTAAGGTGGAGAGTGCCTGGTCAGACCTGCAGGACGAGTGTGGCCTCGAGCACACGGCCAACATGAAGCAGTGCCTCAGAGTGGCCATCTCTCGCTACATGGCCACACCTGACACTAGCCGTCTCACTATCCAGGAGGAGAACGGGGTAGGCAGCTTCCTCTTCAGCCTTCACTGGGAGTGATTTGACGGACGTGATGGGGTCCTGATTCATGGTCTTGGAACTGCCCTTTCTTTTGCGGATCAAACCTGATTTCCTCTTGGTATCTAGACTGTGTATGACCCTACGAATCATTGTTCGTGAAATGTTGATGGGATATAAACACTGCAGTCGGTGGGACATAAAGTCTGCAGCTCACATATATGCTATCAAAGAGCGTTTTAACCTTGATAATCCGTTAAGGATATTTATCTATTGGAGTATATACACTAAGACATATACACCTTATACAGTTTATATGCTAAAATTCACCTCTTAGTGTATATATACAAAGACATTAACCTCTCTCTCCGTATATAAATCCATATTTATTTGTCGGTGTATGTACACTGAGATACATTTATATTTCACTTATGTTAAGTTATTTTTCTCGTCGATTTTCAAAATGTCGTTTTCTTTTAATAATTCTAAGATACCGAGATCCATAGTTACTTATAAAGGAAACCATATGCCGAATATATATATATATATATATATATATATATATATATATATATATATATATATATATATATATATATATATATATATATATATATATATATATATATATATATATATATTCGGCAAAAAAAGCAACGCTCATCTTGCCGAATAAGGCAAGCGAAAATTTGTGTATGCAATAATTTCGCAAAATTCGTTCTGAACCTAATGAAACACAATATATTTCACTGTATTTGTTTATCATTAAATTAATATAAAATTCTAGCTAATTGACCAGTTTTACCTATTCGGCACGAGGGCCTCAACAACCCCTGCTAAGCCAGAGGGCTGAGGAGGGGTTGTTGAGGTGGTTCAGACATGTAGAGAGAAAGAAACAAAATAGAATGACTTCGAAAGTGTATAAATCTGTAGTGGAGGGAAGGCGGGGTAGGGGTCGGCCTAGGAAAGGTTGGAGGGAGGGGGTAAAGAATGTTTTGTGTGCGAGAGGCTTCGACTTCCAGCAAGTATGCGTGAGCGTGTTAAATAAGAGCGAATGGAGGCAAATGCTTTTTACTGCCTGACATGCTGTTGGAGTGTGAGCAAGGTGACATTTGTGAAGGGATTCAGGAAAACCGGTAGGCCGGACTCGAGTCCTGGAGATGGGAAGTGCAGTGTCTGCACTCTGGAGGAGGGGTGTTAATGTTGCAGTTTTATAACTATAGTGTAAGCACGCCTCTGGCAAGACGGTGATGGAGTGAATGATTATGAAAGATTTTCTTTTTCGGGCCACCCTACCTTGGTGGGAGACAGCCAATATGTTAATATATATATATATATATATATATATATATATATATATATATATATATATATATATATATATATATATATATATATATATATGTGTGTGTGTGTGTGTGTGTGTGTGTGTGTGTGTGT